AAACCCTAAACCCTAGACCCTTGAGCTGAAAGCGACTTTTATCAATCGAGGGTTTTGCGGGTCGTATTGCTTTCCCTGCTGGAGCTGTATCTCTCCCCCTGAAATATTCTAGGGTTTAGTATCGAGCTAGGGTTTAATATCTAGGGTTTAGGGTTTAGGGTTTAGGGTTTAGGGTTTAGGGTTTACAGCAAGCACAGCCTGCAGCTCATCACGCCGAGCAAAAGAAATCCCCGCAACCAAATCCGCTAATTTCTGCGGGTAGTCGATGTTATAAAACCTTATCACCTAAACCACAAACCCTAAACCCTAAACCCTAAACCCTAAACCCTAAACCCTAAACCCTAAACCCTAATTTATAAACCCTGAAAAAGGGAGTAAGAAACCCTTTCACGAATAATACAACCATCGCTGAAAGAGCTCAAGAGCCACCGACAGCTCCGTCATTAAACCCTAAACCCTTACACTATCTCCCATACACTCGAGAATATATATTTCTCCTTTTCTGTTTCTTAAAACCCTCCCAAAACCCTGATTCATAAACAATAAACCCTAAACCCTAAACCCTAAACCCTAAACCCTAAACCCTAAACCCTAAACCCTAAACCCTAAACCCTAAACCCTAAACCCTAAACCCTAAACCCTAAACCCTAAACCCTAAACCCTAAACCCTGAAGCCCAAGCCGTAAACCGTAATGTACGTCCTACGCTCTAAACCCTAAATACTAAGTTTTAAACCCTAAACCCTAAACCCCAATACCTAAACCCTAAACCCTAAACCCCAATACCTAAACCCTAAACCCTAAACCCCAATACCTAAACCCTAAACCCTAAACCCTAAACCCTAGATGTTTACCTTCTCCACGTTTGCCTTGTTGACGAGGCCGAAGCCAGAGACAGTGGACTGCAGATTGTTGAGTGCCTGAAGAACAAACCCTAAACCCTAAACCCTAAACCCTTAAGCTAGTGCTGAGGGCCCTAGACCCTAAACCCTAAACCCTAAACCCTAGCATCAAGAGGCTCAAAGCAGGCGGGGTTAGGGTTTATGTATCTCTCCGTTTACACGCAAACAGTGGAGGGTTTGGGTTAGGGTTTAGGGTTTATATTTAGGGTTTAGGGTTTATATTTAGGGTTTAAAGTTTATATTTAGGGTTTAGGGTTTAGCTGTTTGTCTCTCTTTTGCGTTTACTGATTCCGTGTAGGGTTTAGTGTTTTCGGTTAGGACCAAGGGTTTGCTAGGGTTTAGGGTTAGAAAGAAGGGTTTAGTCTCTATAAGGTTAAAAACTAGGGTTTAGGGTTTATTAGGGTTTAGGGTTTAGGGTTTAGGGTTTACGCTCCGCATGTCTCCATCCGCAGAAAACACAATCGCCTCGATGCCGTCATCTGTAAAAGTTACATTTTCTTTGGCGCAAACCTCCCGCAGTCTTTGGATGAGCTGCGTATACACCCCAAACCCTAAACCCTAAACCCTAGTAAACCCTAGTAAACCCTAAACCCTAGTAAACCCTAAACCCTAGTAAACCCTAAACCCTAAACCCTAAACCCTAGATATTTGGGGTTTTCTCTTGAAACACAGCCGTTTGAACACAGCAACACTCCACCGCACAGCTGCTAAACCCCCCTCTCCCCCCTCTAAACCCTAAACCCTAAACCCTAAACCCTAAACCCTAAACCCTACATGTGCATCAGTAAGCTTAGTGAATCTGAGAATAGCACAACGAGACTGCAGCGGCTCGATGACAGATGTAGAAGAGTTGCAAGCCAACGCAAACCGCGTGGTTTCGCTGTGTTGCTCCATTATACGCCGCAAAGCCTGAGGTGTACATACACCCCGCTAAACCCTAAACCCTAAACCCTAAACCCTAAACCCTAAAATAATTAAAAAAGTGAAAAATAAACAAGGGACAAAACACATTAGGGTTTACAAAAAATTAGGGTTTGCAGCAAATTCGAGATATAATGATAAATTAGGGTTTAGAAAAAATTAGGGTTTAGGGTTTATTAGGGTTTAGGGTTTATGAGGGTTTAGGGTTTAGGGTTTAGCTTGCTTGTTGTGCTGCCTCTGTCATAGAGTCAACTTCATCAAGAATAACAATTTTATGTCTCCCCGGCGGCAGCTCTCTCTTCTCTTTGGCGAAGCTCTTTATTCTCTCGCGCACCACGTCGATGCTCCTGTATACAATAAAAAACACATACTCCTGCTGCTGCTGCTGCTGCTGCTGCTCCTGCTGCTGCTGCTGCTGCTGCTGCTGCTGATGGTGATGGTGATGGTGATGGTGCTGCTGCTGCTGATGGTGATGGTGATGCTGCTGCTGCTGCTGCTGCTGGTGCTGATGGTGATGGTGATGGTGCTGCTGATGGTGCTGCTGCTGCTGCTGCTGCTGCTGATGCTGCTGCTGATGGTGATGGTGCTGCTGCTGATGGTGCTGCTGCTGATGGTGATAGTGGTGATGGTGATGATGGTGGTGATGGTGGTGCTGGTGGTTT